AAGCTTCATAAGGCAGATACGTGACCTTGACTAGCCCTGTGTGACCTTGAATAGCTTGCTGCAACCTGACTCTGGCCCCTAGGGGCGGGCTACACGACATATGTTACCTTATAAAGATTGTTTCATTATTGCTTCGTTACCATTCCCACCAACTTCCCATTTAAACAAGAGGTATATTAGTCAGGTAAAGGTGAGTGGTGTAATGATTAAACAGGTGTGTTCATGTACAAACTCAGGAATAGTCTCGATACAAACTCAGGTATAGTCTCCATACATACTCAGGTATAGTCTCCATACGAACTTAGGTATAGTCTCCATACATACTCAGGCATAGTCTCGATACATACTCAGGTAAAGTCTCGATACAAACTCAGGTATAGTCTCGATACAAACTCAGGTATAGTCTCCATACAAACTTAGGTATAGTCTCCATACATACTCAGGTATAGTCTCGATACATACTCAGGTAAAGTCTCGATACAAACTCAGGTATAGTCTCGATACAAACTCAGGTAAAGTCTTCATACAAACTCAGGTATAGTCTCCATACATACTCAGGTATAGTCTCGATACAAACTCAGGTATAGTCTCCATACAAGCTCAGGTATAGTCTCCATACAAACTTAGGTATAGTCTCCATACAAACTCAGGTATAGTCTCCATACATACTCAGGTATAGTCTTCATACAAACTCCGGTATAGTCTCCATACAAACTCAGGTATAGTCTCGATACAAACTTAGGTATAGTCTCCATACAAACTCAGGTATAGTCTCGATACAAACTCAGGTATAGTCTCGATACAAACTCAGGTATAGTCTCCATACAAACTCAGGTATAGTCTCCATACAAACTCAGGTATAGTCTCCATACAAACTCAGGTATAGTCTCCATACAAACTCAGGTATAGTCTCCATACAAACTCAGGTATAGTCTCCATACAAACTCAGGTATAGTCTCCATACAAACTCAGGTATAGTCTCCATACAAACTTAGGTATAGTCTCCATACATACTCAGGTATAGTCTCCATACAAACTCAGGTATAGTCTCCATACAAACTTAGGTATAGTCTCCATACAAACTCAGGTATAGTCTCCATACAAACTCAGGTATAGTCTCCATACAAACTTAGGTATAGTCTCCATACATACTCAGGTATAGTCTCCATACAAACTCAGGTATAGTCTCCATACAAACTTAGGTATAGTCTCCATACAAACTCAGGTATAGTCTCCATACAAACTTAGGTATAGTCTCCATACATACTCAGGTATAGTCTCCATACAAACACAGGTATAGTCTCCATACATACTCAGGTATAATCTCCATACAAACTCAGGTATAGTCTCGATACAAACTTAGGTATAGTCTCCATACAAACTCAGGTATAGTCTCCATACAAACACAGGTATAGTCTCGATACAAACTTAGGTATAGTCTCCATACATACTCAGGTATAGTCTCGATACAAACTTAGGTATAGTCTCCATACATACTCAGGTATAGTCTCCATACAAACACAGGTATAGTCTCCATACATACTCAGGTATAATCTCCATACAAACTCAGGTATAGTCTCCATACAAACTCAGGTATAGTCTCCATACAAACTCGGGTAAAGTCTCCATACAAACTCGGGTACAGAAAGTCTCCATTTATTACCAAATTTTAAGCATATTTAGCAGAATCTTGTTACCAGTAGGAATAATGGATGAACAGGTGGGATTTGGAAATGTCACACATTTTGTCTGAAAACTTTGTGTTTACTGCTCACAGTTTCACCCCATATTGAAATCAACTATAAAATTGATTTTCTGTTCAACAAATATAAAAACACACATAAAATCTGTTTTACATAATTGATACAAGCAGGTCTAGGGGACAGAAATTGTAGGCCTAATGGCTAATGTGAGCATGGTGCAGAAGGGGAATGCTAATGGCCATTCAGAAAGCATGTCTTAGGGAGGGATCTGTTAAACCTAAAGGCTGCCACTGCTATTGTCCATGTTTATTTGTCCATTATTACATATTCCCAGTTCCAAACAGCAACACATGGAGGTAAAATGTACCGGCCCTAATTAAAATGGGCCAAGTATGGAAGTTCTTTTTATTTCCCTGATAAAACATGTTAAAAACAAGATAAAAGGTGATGGCCAGCTGTTGTTAGCGTCCTGCATTCATGTAAAACACAGATAGAGAAATATTGCCCGTGCACTAATATGCAGATACATTTATATGATATGCCTTATCTCAACAACCATTGAAATTTTAGTAGCTATTCAACAAAAAATAAATCACTATTTTTTTTTTAAGTTGGCATAAATTTATCATTCATGGATGAAAATGATAAAAACGGGACTTGTCCTGTTGACGGTAGGAGACCTGTCTGTAGAACCTGTCTATAGTGGGCACTGATCACCAATCAGTCAGCTTTATTTGATTTCCTCCTTTGAAGATGATCTCTGTGCCACTCTAAACAACATGTGATCCAACAACTTCGGACATGAATTACAACCAATGTAATTTATATGATAATGTAATTATCATTTAATGTATAACTTGCAAATGAAGAAATTGATGGTTTAATATTTCAAAAGGCTGTCATATGAATAATTCGTGCAATAAAGAAGATAATTTAAGGTGTTGTGCAAATAGTTTATAAGATTCTATATTTTGTTGAATGTTGATGAGGTGATTTGAAAGAATTAGGAAAGGCTCAATTTCTTTGCTATAAATTTGAAAAGAACTGCATATATTAACTTGGCTGGTGACGTAATTAAAACAGAGGTGTTTGGTAAATTGTATAGAGGAAGTGTTTACACACTAAACATTGAATAAAAAGTAGGAAGGCTTTGATTGGTTCTCCACGGGGGTATACGTACACGTGCAAAGACCTCTGACATTGAGATTGGTTACAAAGCTGGTTTTTCTTTTCCAATTTCATGTTTTTTTTATTTTATTCTGCTTCTGTAGAAAATGAGAATGGAGGGTGGCCTCACAACCGGAGGTCTAGCAGACATCACTCTGTAAACTTCTATCTCCGATTATCTTAACAACGACTTCTTAGATATGAGGAAAGGCAAGAAATTTTCAAGACAGCTTTCATATTTGATTTAAAGATAATATATATAAAGATATAACTTCAAAGTGAAGTTTGCATGTACCTGGTAGGGTAATGCTGTAGGGTACCGTATTAGGACCTGTATTGACTTGTATGTGTATTTAAATACTTGTGATTTACCATCATTATTTAGCCTGCACATTTTCATGGTTAAAGCTTGAGACACCTATGTGTGTCTTCTCCCATGACAGGGTGGGGATGGCCGGCTGTCCGTCTTCTAATTCTACATCAAAGGCGACCCACGCACACTAATAGGTACAATTGTGGTGCTAATAGACCCTCGTCTATTGTTCACCTGTCAGGACGTTTCTTTGTAACTATTTATATCTCGTCATCTTATCTGTATCTATAGATATCTTGTGTTGTCTGTAGAGGTGGACTGTATATTGTTACACTGTCGTAGACCGAACACAAGTTGGTGATCCTTGTAGACAGAAAAGTGGCCCAATATTATGTCCTTTAAGTAGAAGTTCTTGTAGTGAAAGAATCCACTTCTGCCTATCAGAGACGTATAAAGCCATATTGTAGTGTATATGTCTCTGTGCCTATACACTACTGTCTATCAGAGACATATAAAGCCTTATTGTAGTGTATATGTCTCTGTGCCTATATACTTCTGTCTATCAGAGACATATAAAGACATATAGTAGTGTATACGTCTCTGTGCCTATACACTAATGTCTATCAGAGACATATAAAGAAATATAGTAGTGTATATGTCTCTGTGCCTATACACTACTGTCTATCAGAGACATATAAAGACATATAGTAGTGTATACGTCTCTGTGCCTATACACTTCTGTCTATCAGAGACATAAAAAGACATATAGTAGTGTATACATCTCTGTGCCTATACACTTCTGCCTATCAGAGACATATAAAGACATATAGCAATAAAAACGTCTCTGTGCCTATACACTTCTGTCTATCAGAGACAAAAAAAAAGCCATATAGTAGTATATACGTCTCTGTGCCTGATATCTAATATTTTATGGTCCTAATACACAGGTAATATCTGATATTTTATGGTCCTTATATGCAGGTGATATCTGATATTTTATTATCCTAATACACAGGTGATCCCTGATATATTGTGGTCCTAATACACAGGTGATATCTGATATATTGTGGTCCTAATACACAGGTGATATCTGATATTTATGGTCCGAATACACATGTGATGCCTGCTATATTGTGGTCCTAATACACAGGTGATATCTGATATTTTATGGTACTTATATGCAGGTGATATCTGATATTTAATGGTCCTAATACACAGGTGATATCCAATATTTTATGGATTTTTGGATATGTTGATTATTTTCAATCTGAGGAAATATGATATGTAATGTCATTCTTACCTCTCTCCGTCTGGAATCTGCGTACATTGGAGACCAAAGTGTGTTGGTGTTATTGAGTACATTTCTAGCTATCCTCTCATTCTTGTAACATTGGCTTTAACATGATAATGTTATTATGCGAATTGGCAAGAGATAAGGAAATGACAATAAATTCAAACATAAACTTTGGTTTTGTTAGAAATTCATGGTTATATCTACATATTCATAAAAGTAAGAGACCTAAACAATTATATCTCCTGGTTTTATGTTCGTAAAACATCCACGTCCAATCTTACTGACTAGAGGTTGTCAGGCTCGGTACTATTGAAAATAAGTTCAAGGCCATTGTGAGTCATATGAAGGTCACAGTGACTCACAAGGTCATTTGAATTCCTGATCAATCATGCTGAGACCATCGCTGTAAGTTGTAACCCTCGTCACAAGCTGTCTACGTATTAGATAACCACATTTATACAAATTATTTCATTTCCTCGATATTCATTTTCTAATAAATTGATTTTTTTTCTCATTTTTTCAGATGGAGGAAATGAGGAATGAATCATCGAGGAAGCTGGCTAATACAACCCAGGGGAGGAACAAGCTAAAGAACCATACATTTAAAGTCTAGCTGTATCCTCACTTCTGTAACATCATGCAATATAATGGTTCATATAAAGACATACAATAGACACTCACACCATGTTGTATTTTATTTGGAACTCTTCATACAGTCAAGTGTTTTGTATTTTAACATCAAATTGTCTTTATTAATACAAATATTACAGTGCTAATATAGTGATAACATATCACATATGGTCCAGGAATACAATAGCTTGATACAGACTGGTCCAGGAATACAATATCTTGATACACACTGGTCCAGGAATACAATAGCTTGTTACAGACGGGTCCAGGAATACAATAGCTTGATACAGACTGGATCAGGAATACAATAGCTTGTTACAGACTGGTCCAGGAATACAATAGTTTGATACAGACTGGGCCAGGAATACAATAGCTTGATACAGACTGGTCCAGTAATACAATAGCTTGATACAGACTGGTCCAGGAATACAATAGCTTGGTACAGACTGGTCCAGGAATACAATAGCTTGTTACAGACTAGTCCAGGAATACAATAGCTTGTTACAGACTGGTCCAGGAATACAATAGCTTGATACATACTGGTCCAGGAATACAATAGCTTGTTACAGACGGGTCCAGGAATACAATAGCTTGATACAGACTGGTCCAGGAATACAATAGCTTGATACAGACTGATCCTGGAATACAATAGCTTCATATATATAGACTGGTCCAGGAATACAATAGCTTGATACAGACTGGTTCAGGAATACAATAGCTTGTTACAGACTGGTCCAGGAATACAATAGCTTGATACAGACTGGTCCAGGAATACAATAGCTTGATACAGACTGGTCCAGGAATACAATAGCTTGATACAGACTGGTCCAGGAGTACAATAGCTTGTTACAGACTGGTCCAGGAATACAATAACTTCATATAGACTGGTCCAGGAATACAATAGCTTGATACAGACTGGTCCAGGAATACAATAGCTTCATACAGACTGGTCCAGGAGTACAATAGCTTGTTACAGACTGGTCAGGGAATACAATAGCTTGTTACAGACTGGTCCAGGAATACAATAGCTTCATACAGACTGGTCCAGGAGTACAATAGCTTGTTACAGTCTGGTCTAAGAATACAATAGCTTGAATTGGTCCACGAAAGCAAAAGCTTGGTCCAGGAATACAACAGTTTGAATCAACTTACCTATTTGCTGTTTTGCAGTGTCTGCCAAGGGGTGAGATCCAATAGGGGAAATGGATGTTAAATTCTAAATACTTACATTTCTTCAGTATGGGGGAAGGAAGTGTAACTAGTTTGGTCTAAAGCTTTATCGATTAAGTCAAAGGGTTTACATGTTGTATTAACTAGTGTTAGTCTAAATCTCATTTAGCAATCTAGTGAAATAAGCATTGTCAATTATTTTATGATAAGTGTAAATTCTGAAATTTATCTCATATCTTTTTAAAAAATCAACTACATTCGATGGAAAATTTTCGTGACATGATTCGACCAATCATAACAACAGATAGCCACACTGAACACTAATATGACAGCCAAAACTGAACAGTTTCCACCAATCACTGATCAGGTTTTAACGACCGGTTTATCAGGCTATTTCGCCAGGTTTGGTTTCGTTCAGACCAGAGATAAAACAAAATGAAGTGGACAAGTAAATAATTAGCAGAGACAAGATTTCTGATGTATCCTTAACAATCGTACCAAAACCATTCCTCTCCTTATTCGTATCAAGGAGTCGTGGCATATAATGACTCTATTAAATCACTACAAATACACTGTTTGAATGTTTTTAATCCAATTCTCTATATCCAATACAGTCACTGATAAAAAAAGGAATGGCTAGGCTTGAAGAGTTGTCTAAGGAATGGAAACTGTATTGTTCTCCAGCGTTAAATGGACATTGGATTTTTCTCCACGATTCCATTATCAGACTGTTGATTTATGCGTAGTTTGTTTGACGCTATCTGCCCGACTCCTCCATTAGTGCTATCTCTTGGTAAAGGAAGACAAAAAAACACAGAAGTACAGTGTAATGCATTGTTATTGTACAAATGGCGCAAAGTCTCGCATTCAAAGCCGAGTGAAAAAGATTTTTCTTTCACTTCAAGAATCAATCTTAAAAGAAGAATCCAAGTCACAGTGAGATAAGGGATGGAATCAATATACATGGTTTGTTCCTTGTATCACAGTAAAGGGATATTGATGGTATAAATATACATGGTTTGTCCCTTGTTTCACAGTGAAGGGATATTGATGGTATAAATATACATGGTTTGTCCCTTGTTTCACAGTGAAGGGATATTGATGGTATAAATATACATGGTTTGTCCCTTGTTTCAATGTTAGGGAATAGTGATTGTTTCAATATACATTGTTTGTCCCTCAATTCACAGTCAGAGTAGACTGTTCAGTTGGTATGAATAAACATGTTTTTTCCCTGTTTCACAGTAAGAGAAATTGATGGTATCACTGTACATGGTTTGTCCCTTGTTTCTCAGTGAGAAAAGATTAAGTGTACAAATATATACATGGTTTATGCCTTGTTACAAAGTTAGAGGGGAGTTGTTGTAAAAGTAAACCTATTGTGTCCCCTGTCTCACTGTGATAAAGGGTGTAGATATATATCCGGGGAGCAGTGCTAGTGTCATGTGTAGATCTAACCCAGGATAAGACCTTTTGTCAGTACTCTGTTTCAGCATTGTGGCGGATGTTTCAATATCCCTGGAGGTTGATCAATTTGAATATGTTTTGTCCGGGGTGCAGATAAATGTGAATTGTTTAAGATTGGTATAAAGTGACATTAGCTAATGCCATCAAGCTGTATCAGACACATCTGCTGTGATGGGAACCTGATACCACTAGAAATGCCTTTTAGTGTGCCGTGCTTTTCTGTTTTTACTGGACAGTACCAGATGGATGCACTAGAGTATGCCTTACTGTGTTTGTCAAGGATATTACTTACAAAGTGATGAATTGGTCGTATTTGATAGTATATTCATCCTCTCTCGATGGAGGAATTTTATTGACTCTATATCTATTTCTAAGTTGATGAATAAGCAGTAACTGATTGTTCCATAAAAGATGAAAATAACATCTTCTGGTCATCAAATTAAAACATATTCAATATCATAACTCAGTTAGGTTGTTTATGGGAATTAATAAACTTCAATCACATAAGTAAGCTTAATTAAAGCTATTTAAAATTCCTCTCATAGTAAAAGTTTTTAAAAATTAATTACAAGTACACTAATGCACTTGTAAGCAATAGGTATAAATGTTGGGCATGGGGAGGGAAGTGATAGTTCACTGGGCTATGGGGAGGGAGGCCATAGTTCACTGGGTTATCGGGAGGGAGACCATAGTTCACTGGGCTATGGGGAGGGAGGCCATAGTTCACTGGGTTATCGGGAGGGAGACCATAGTTCACTGGGCTATGGGGAGGGAGGCCATAGTTCACTGCGTTATCGGGAGGGAGACCATAGTTCACTGGGTTATGGGGAGGGAGACCATAGTTCACTGGGTTATGGGGAAGGAGACCATAGTTCACTGGGTTATGGGGAGGGAGACCATAGTTCACTGGGTTATGAGGAGGAAGGCCATAGTTCACTGGGCTATGGGGAGGAAGGCCATAGTTCACTGGGCTATGGGGAGGAAGGCCATAGTTCACTGGGCTATGGGGAGGAAGGCCATAGTTCACTGGGCTATGGGGAGGAAGGCCATAGTTCACTGGGCTATGGGGAGGAAGGCCATAGTTCACTGGGCTATGGGGAGGAAGGCCATAGTTCACTGGGCTATGGGGAGGAAGGCCATAGTTCACTGGGCTATGGGGAGGAAGGCCATAGTTCACTGGGCTATGGGGAGGAAGGCCATAGTTCACTGGGCTATGGGGAGGAAGGCCATAGTTCACTGGGCTATGGGGAGGAAGGCCATAGTTCACTGGGCTATGGGGAGGAAGGCCATAGTTCACTGGGCTATGGGGAGGAAGGCCATAGTTCACTGGGCTATGGGGAGGAAGGCCATAGTTCACTGGGCTATGGGGAGGAAGGCCATAGTTCACTGGGCTATGGGGAGGAAGGCCATAGTTCACTGGGCTATGGGGAGGAAGGCCATAGTTCACTGGGCTATGGGGAGGAAGGCCATAGTTCACTGGGCTATGGGGAGGAAGGCCATAGTTCACTGGGCTATGGGGAGGAAGGCCATAGTTCACTGGGCTATGGGGAGGAAGGCCATAGTTCACTGGGCTATGGGGAGGAAGGCCATAGTTCACTGGGCTATGGGGAGGAAGGCCATAGTTCACTGGGCTATGGGGAGGAAGGCCATAGTTCACTGGGCTATGGGGAGGAAGGCCATAGTTCACTGGGCTATGGGGAGGAAGGCCATAGTTCACTGGGCTATGGGGAGGAAGGCCATAGTTCACTGGGCTATGGGGAGGAAGGCCATAGTTCACTGGGCTATGGGGAGGAAGGCCATAGTTCACTGGGCTATGGGGAGGAAGGCCATAGTTCACTGGGCTATGGGGAGGAAGGCCATAGTTCACTGGGCTATGGGGAGGAAGGCCATAGTTCACTGGGCTATGGGGAGGAAGGCCATAGTTCACTGGGCTATGGGGAGGAAGGCCATAGTTCACTGGGCTATGGGGAGGAAGGCCATAGTTCACTGGGCTATGGGGAGGAAGACCATAGTTCACTGGGCTATGGGGAGGGAGGCCATAGTTCACTGGGCTATGGGGAGGAAGGCCATAGTTCACTGGGCTATGGGGAGGAAGGCCATAGTTCACTGGGCTATGGGGAGGAAGGCCATAGTTCACTGGGCTATGGGGAGGAAGGCCATAGTTCACTGGGCTATGGGGAGGAAGGCCATAGTTCACTGGGCTATGGGGAGGAAGGCCATAGTTCACTGGGCTATGGGGAGGAAGGCCATAGTTCACTGGGCTATGGGGAGGAAGGCCATAGTTCACTGGGCTATGGGGAGGAAGGCCATAGTTCACTGGGCTATGGGGAGGAAGGCCATAGTTCACTGGGCTATGGGGAGGAAGGCCATAGTTCACTGGGCTATGGGGAGGAAGGCCATAGTTCACTGGGCTATGGGGAGGAAGGCCATAGTTCACTGGGCTATGGGGAGGAAGGCCATAGTTCACTGGGCTATGGGGAGGGAGGCCATAGTTCACTGGGTTATGGGGAGGAAGGCCATAGTTCACTGGGCTATGGGGAGGAAGGCCATAGTTCACTGGGCTATGGGGAGGAAGGCCATAGTTCACTGGGCTATGGGGAGGAAGGCCATAGTTCACTGGGCTATGGGGAGGAAGGCCATAGTTCACTGGGCTATGGGGAGGAAGGCCATAGTTCACTGGGCTATGGGGGGAGACCATAGTTCACTGGGCTATGGGGAGGGAAGTGATAGTTCACTGGGCTAAAGGGGGAGACCATAGTTCACTGGGCTATGTGGAGGGAGGCCATAGTTTACTGTGCTATGGGGAAGGAAGTGATAGTTCACTGGGCTATGGGGGAGACCATAGTTCACTGGGCTATGGGGAGGAAGGTCATAGTTCATTGGGCTATGGGGAGGAAGGTCATAGTTCATTGGGCTATGGGGAGGGAAGTGATAGTTCACTGGGCTACGGGGGGAGACCATAGTTCACTGGGCTATGGGGGGAGACCATATTTCACTGGGCTATGGGGAGGGAGGCCATAGTTCACTGGGCTATGGGGAGGGGGCCATAGTAAACTGGGCTATGGGGAGACCATAGTTCGCTGGGCTATGGGGGAGACCATAGTTCGCTGGGCTATGGGGAGGAAGGCCATAGTTCACTGGGCTATGGGGAGGAAGGCCATAATTCACTGGGCTATGGGGAGGGAGGCCATAGTTCACTGGGCTATGGGGAGGAAGGCCATAGTTCACTGGGCTATGTGGAGGGAGGCCATAGTTCACTGGGCTATGGGGAGGAAGGCCATAGTTCACTGGGCTATGGGGAGGAAGGCCATAGTTCACTGGGCTATGGGGAGGAAGGCCATAGTTCACTGGGCTATGGGGAGGAAGGCCATAGTTCACTGGGCTATGGGGAGGGAAGTGGAAGTTATCTGGGCTATGTGGAGGGGGGCCATATTTCACTGGGCTATGGGGAAGGAAGCCATATTTCACTGGGCTATTGGAAAGAGGCCATATTTCACTGGGCTATGGGGAATGAGGTCCTAGTGTACTGGGCTATGGGGAGGGAGGCCATAGTTCACTTGGCTATGTGGAGGGGGGGCCATAGTTAACATGGGCTATTGGGGGAGACCATAGTTCGCTGGGCTATGGGGAGGGAGGCCATATTTCACTGGGCTATTGGGAATGAGGTCCTAGTGTACTGAGCTATGGGGAGGGAGGCCATAGTTCACTTGGCTTCTGCAAGGTCCAGTGGCGAAGCCCTAGGAAGATGGTCTATGTTTTAGTGAAGACCGCCAGACGCTCTACGATTACTGCTGTTGGGTATACATTGCAAAACAGTATACAGGACAAGAGCTGTTATGGTTTTTCCATCAAGAAAATGAAACAAAAATGTTTGAGTACATCTCTATAGACACTGTGTTTGATCTGTTTCCCCTCCGATAATTCACTCTAATTCACCATTCTGCTCAGTCGATCTTGCATGAATTTCATGACGGCAGTTCCATTCACAAGATGCTTAGATTGCTATACCTTTTCTACCTAATTAGGGCTGTTCATCAAAGGGTGAAAATACCTATGGTTTTTGTTATCTTTTCTGTTCTTCTACACAAAATTCTTTACACATATTCCTTCTAAATGGCAAAAGGTATCACATCCATGATCTTTTTACCTGTACAGAAGGCGTCATTGCAACATTTTCAAGCAGGTCAACAAACCAGACATGACGTTCTACATTTTGTGTGTGTATATCTGAAAACGGAAATAACTCAAAAACTATTAATTATACAGCGTTCATGCAATGATACCATTTGTAGATAGGGGTCAGGTCTAACTTTTTTTAGGTCACCTGAGACGAAGTGACCTATTCTAATCGCCTTTTGTCCGTCGTTGTCTGTCGTCCGTCGTCCGTCCATAAACAATTTATATTTTCGACTTCTTCTCAGGGGGTTTAGTGTTCTCACAACATCTAAGATCCCATGACGACGGTGCCTAGGGAATCACCATTGAAAAGGCAGAATAGACTCTCTTCATTGTCGTAAATGGACCTCTGTTAAAACTACTTACTGTTCTGTAGTAGCCGATAAGACATGTGTTAACAGCAGGACTTTGGTGATCTGTTCGGACACAGATCATCATTGGTCAGAATGAACATGTCCGTTAGCGGATCATCATTGGTCAGAATGAACATGTCCGTTAGCGGATCATCATTGGTCAGAATGAACATGTCCGTTAGCGGATCATCATTGGTCAGAATGAACATGTCCGTTAGCGGATCATCATTGGTCAGAATGAACATGTCCGTTAGCGGATCATCATTGGTCAGAATGAACATGTCCGTTAGCGGATCTTGATCTTACTCTGCCGTCGGAAGATCGGTCTTTTTGGACTTACGGAACCGATATATAGCGTTGCCTAGTTTGAATATCGGCCTAACTTTTATGGAATATCTGCCAAATATCAAACATAAACTGTTTCATGGGGTTCGTTTTTATGGTGAAATTGTGTTAGGCACGTGCCTTTTTGCCTTAAGTATCGACGCCATAATTTGTTTTTATGTTTGCTTTGAAGTTCCCAAACTTAAATCTTTAAACAACAAAAATATAAACAATTTGTTCAGTGCTTTTGTGATTTTTCTGAAATGGTATTTGTAAATCCGCCAGCTGTATATGACGACGAGGTTGATCCAATCTTTGACTACATTAGTGTGTTGTTTGTGCCTTAGGTATAGGGAGGATTAATGTGTATAAGTGCTTTACTCCCAATATAACGGTCTCCACGTACGTGTCTATCTCTTAATCTTACCGAAAACCAATAACGGGTACCATTCCGATAGGGACAGCTTGGCTTTAATAATTATCTTATTGAACTATTTAGATAATCTGAATAAAAATTCACCGTTAAAACGCCTTTGTGTTTTATTTTAAAATCCAAATGCTTTTCACAAAAAACGGTCTTGTTAATATATACACTTCCATTAATATAATGAGTATCATCGGAAGCTAACATCTAATTTACGTTTATCTTCTTAATAAAGAAATTTTATCTGATACATTTAAATGATTCATCTAGAGTCTGTATTAAACACAAAGTTAATGCTTTTAACGTTTCAAAGAGTTCTTAACATTATCAGTTTTTATTGGCTATGTAAAATGTTAGATACGACTTTGCACTAAGTCACGAGAAGGGTTTCAACAAATATGTACTTTAATTTTATTGGCTAAAAATGTGCGTTGTTAGATTTTTTAACTGCACCCACATGAAACGAACCAACTAGAAAGATAATTGAATAAGATATTTATTGAACCCACCACAAAGAAATATTTAAATGAAGAAATGCATTCCATTATTGATATTGATGTGTATATTTAGAGTATTTTTTGTACGGCTTTCTAAATAATCGTCTTGTGTAAATCATTGCATACTGGCTTTCAGTCCGCCTTGTCGACGACGAGGATGACGTCAACGCCGCTGCCGCTGCCGCTGACGACGACGATGATGATGATGATGATGATGATGATGATGATGATGATGATGATGATGATGATGATGATGATGATGATGATGATGGTGATGATGATGATGATGATTATGATTATGACGACGACGACGACGACGACGACGACGACGATGATGATGATGATGATGATGATGATTGCATTAGTCAATATGCGAATAGTTTACAGAAAGAGGATATTATCAATAAAACTTATGAATCATAGATATGTGGCTTATAAGTTGTATTTGAAGTCAAAGGATGCAGTTATGCGAATAATACGAAACACTTCACGTCCCGGCATGTGAGTAAGGTGTGGTCTGCGGACCCGGAAGTGATTCAGATAACCCAGTACGATATTATTAAACACACCCTGACAAATCCTACACGAAGTGTTTGATTTTATCTAAACAGATGATCTTACAACAGTTAACAGCGATTTGGTCAATTTTACATGTGTTATTTCGAAATACGATATACAGATATATTTTTTTCTGCTGGATTCCATCTGTTCACATGATTTTAAATACCCGGATGTGAAAAGCTCTGCTCTGTGTTATTTGCAAAGCATTGGCAACCTGTTTATGTACAATAGCAATAGCCGATCAGACTCAATCCTTTTGCTTTTTGGCAATAAAATATGTTTAAAACATTTTCCTGAATTCTATGCAAACGATGACGATTATTTTAACGCCGTTTTATTTTCAACGTAGAATCGACCGTATTTATGCAAGGCAAGCTGCATTTAACGTAAAATGATTGTCCTAGAACCAACAAAAACATTCTCATAAAAAATGCCGATGTATACAAAACACACACTTGTCTGACAAACACTAGCGATCCTTAGAAGTATTAGAAACGTCGACCAGATCTTCAGGTTTAAACAGCGTACCCTTGGGAAACGGTAATAATACTTTCGAACCTTGCTATATAAAAGTCGCTTTTGATATACTGCGACTCTTATTTTGTATCACAGGATTTAAAAGTATCCCTTTGAAACATTAGTAACCGACAGATTGTTTGGTCTTATTGTTTAACACTGCACTGCAATTACAAGTGTTTCCTTTTGAAACGGAGGACTAGCGGGACATGAAAGCGAGCCTGTCATACCACAGATAACTGTGCAGAGTGTCCGCGCTATATTTACGACAAACATGCTCAAATCCCTTTGAAATATTACTATATCCGTTTTAAATACGGATATTGTATCTGCACAAGTGCCCCGGGCCTCGAGTTGTAGAAATATAGACTGCAGCAGGTGTTTCACATGTACAGTTGTTTCACGACAAATAAATGTTGAGTTAAATTTACTGTTGGGGAAGTTGCTGTCGAGATGCTTCATAGGAAGCTGATATTTAGTCTATTAAAGAAGAGAAAAGACCGTTAAACAAAATAGTATGCCTTTTTTTCCAGATTAACAGACTAAATCAAGGATTGAACAAGAAAATGAAGAACAAATTACAGGTTTTACAAAATAAAGTTGTCAGATTTATTAGCCAATTAGAACCCAGAACGAGTATCACTCCCACTGAACTGTCAAAGCTCAATATGTTAAATATAGAATATAGAGTCAAACAATTAAGACTCAATCATGTGCACAAGATGTTTTATGGAAAATGTCCATCCTACTTAAACCTTAACTTCATAAAAGTGTCAGGTGTTCATCAGCATAACACACGATCATGTCTTTTTAATTTTGTTGTTCCACCATGCAGGGACAGTATATAGA